GGGTTAACCGGTTTCTATAATTTTCATATTTTTCCTATTTTTCTATTCGAACATTCATATATAAATACTAAATTTGACGTTTACAAGTTCAAACATTATAAATATATATATATATATATATATATATATATATATATATATATATATATATATATATATATATATATTTAAGTTTGAATGTTTTACATCAATCCATATAGGTAATAACAAAAAAAACTATAATACCGAAACAAAATATAGTTTTAGATAAATATATACGCATCAAAAACTTTATAACATCTACCATATGTCTTATTTAGAGAAAACTAAATAAATTTGAAAAAAATAATCAACGTTTATTGTGCAAAATGGTTCTTTTCCATGTATTTTTATTCGTTTTAACCGGTTCAATCGATTTATTTTGAACAGTTCAACCAAGTTTTTCTACAAACCGGCCGTTTAATCCGGTTCAGAAAAGCAAATAAAATCGGTGATAGTTGAACCATTCTCTCCCATGGTTCTCAGTCCAACCGGTTCAACCGGACGGTTCAAAATAGTTTTTAAAACATACGTTGGAATCAAATTTTCAAATATTGTAAATTGATTAGTAATCCGGACCATGTCAATTGTTCTACTATATTTGTACCAAATGTATACGTACAGCTTGATATATAGTGATGCAAGAACCAAAGGGTTAAAACTTAATATGATAAGGTCATGATTAATTATGTGGAATGATGAATAATGTTACGTACTAATTAAGTAATATGGAGTATCAATTATACTAAGATGCTTTTACCTGCATGTGTAGTATACAATACAAATATGCGGCTATATTAGCACAAGTTTGAAACTATTATTTTTACAGTATCAATGTAAAATATTTTCCCCAAATAAAAGAATAGTGGCTGTAATTTTAGATATAATTTATAAATCAACAATGAGACAAAATTAGACACAACATGCACCATAATGGACAAAATTGTAGTACGTCTGTGCACTCATAATTACTTGGATTTCTTAAAAGGGAAAGTTAATATCCAAAGAATGTTTTATTGCCGTAGAGGAACATCTGTCACTTGAAAAAAAACTACATCATTGTTGACTGTTAACATGGCTTTCTGTTAAGCAAAAGGCTATATTAGCACAACCCATTTGCCTTGCTACTCATCCAGCAGCATTGTAAAGAGTAACTAGCAACATCTAAAAGGCAATGAAGAATTTCCGTTTTGTTCTGTTCTTGGTTCTCCTGGCAACAACTTCATTGGAGATCAATGCTCAGACTTGCAAACCAAGTGGTGGTATCCGGGGAAGAAAACCGCCTCCAGGAGAATGCAACCGTGAGAACAACTCGGATTGTTGTGTCCAAGGTAAGTTTTACACCACGTATACATGCTCGCCTCCTGTGACAGGCGACACTAAAGCAACACTGACAATAAACAGTTTCCAAAAGGGTGGTGATGGTGGTGGTCCGTCGGAGTGTGACAACCAATACCACTCTGATGACACACCGGTTGTGGCATTGTCAACCGGATGGTATAAAGGAGGGGATAGGTGCCACAAGTATATTACCATCAATGGAAATGGGAGAAGTGTAAAGGCAATGGTTGTGGATGAGTGTGACTCTACTATGGGGTGCGATGGTGATCATGACTATCAACCACCTTGCCCTAATAATATTGTTGACGCTTCCAAAGCAGTGTGGAAGGCCTTAGGGGTATCAGAGGATAACTGGGGAGATTTGGATATTACTTGGTCAGAGTGATGCATGTTAATCTAGCTCTCCTATTTAAAAATCAAACGTATTTCTGTTTCTTTTTTTTGTGGATATTGTAATCTGTAAAGGTATTGATGTAACTATATATACTAATGACTAGAGGTTCACACCAAACTTATCGGCATATATTGATATATTATGTTATACAAATATTAACTTACCTTTAGATGTATATATGGATTCAAACAACAACTGATATGACAAAAACTATTCAGTTCTATAATCTTTCATGGTAGAATCAATTCCACTACAAAATTTTAGACTACTTTTTCTAACTCATCAGACGCAGCCCTACAAATAGAGTATACCACAAAAACAATAATCTTTCATGGTAGAATCAATTCCACTACAAAATTTTAGACTACTTTTTCTAACTCATGATCATCAGACGCAGCCCTACAAATAGACTATACCACAAAAATAATAATCTTTCATGGTAGAATCAATTCCACTACAAAATTTTAGACTACTTTTTCCAACTCATATGAAGCAGCCTACAAATAGACTTTACTACAAAAACAATAATAAAAAAAATTATGTATTTTCACATTCTAATTCGCTTTATGCAATCAGACAAAACCCCGCACCATAATCACGGGCAACCCGAACCCGTAATCGACTCGACCTGATTATTATCTAAACAAAACCATAATAGCAGTAGAATTATCACCCATATGAAGTAGCAACACCGACAGCTGCTTGATTGGATACCACATCCCAAATACCAGCACATCTGATAATCATAAACTCATCATCTTCGATCAACACCAGTTGTCTAACTTCTTTTTTTTCCAAGAAGCGATGATTTTCTAACCCATTCGTAACTCCATATGCCAGTCTCCCTGGGCCCACATGACGTAATGAATTGGACAATATGCTTTTGATTGCAAAGAACAAGTATCGTCTTTTTCAAAAGGTAAACTCACAAAGACTGAATGACATGAGTCTGAAACTCTTATGTAATAGAATCCATGTATTGGCCAATGATCCTTCTTATCAAGATCAGTTGGCAAAAAATCTATATCTTGTAAAAAGTAAACTCATCAATAACCGCATTAATAACACCCCATGTGGCAATGTTGCCATTAAAAGGGAAACAACGGAGCTTAGTACTTTTAGTTTGATGCAAGAACCAAAGTGTTGAGACGTAATAGTTAATACCGCTGTCAAAGATATGTTTATTTGGAAGGATGATTAATATGATGTATTTATGCAATAATATCAAATATATTAACTATATTGTACCCGTGTGTTATTATACAATTACTACAAAAAAGCTGATAGGACCGGTTATTTCAATTAAATAACCCGGTTTTCAACCGGGTCCTAAAGCCAGCGAGACCTATGTGGAAAAAAGAATAGAACCCGGTTTTAAAACCGGCTCCTATCCAACACAAAAGAAACCGGTTGTTCATAAAACCAGGACATATAAGAGGAACATAACGCCCAATCTTTGGTCAAATATGAAGATTAGGCCTCGGTCTAAGCATACAAAACCGGGTCATGTATGGCTAAAAGAGTCCGGTTCCAATCCTCAAACCGGTCATATAAAGGTTAAATATGGACCGGTTCTATTCATGTAACATAAAACCCACTAGTGACCGTACCACCAGAAAGCATGCTTATAAGGATTAAATTTTTGACAAATTTATTCAAATAACCATATAAAAAACACAAATTGATACTTGCATCCAAAGCACACATTCAAAACAAAACAAAAATTATGAATTGATGAACAAATTATATTAATATAAACATGCTAAATAACCAATCATTATAGTCATGGATAAAAACATGCATAAGTGTTTCTAAAAACTCCATGATTTGGTCATTTCCAAGTACATCAAACTTACATAAACAAATTCAAAAATAAAATTGTTTTCCCATGCAGAAGTATTGTCCAATAATCAAATGTTGCAGCTATCCTCCAACCTCATTTAAAAGCAAAACACAACAGCTACCCTTCATCCTCACTGAAAAAACAAAACACAACAAATAGTTAGTTTTTTTGTCTATCATTTTAAAAGAGTTGAATTTAGCAAACAATCATTAAACTAAAAGTAGGATGTTATAAAGATTAACAACTAACCTTATATGCACTTTTAGACAATCACATCATTCATAAAAATTTTCAGAAATTCTCTGGCCCATGTAGCAACAGTTGTAACCAAGACCTTTTCCTCAAATGCAATTTTGTCATTCCAAAGGGTACCAAACTATATGAAAATAAAATTAAAACTACTAAATTATGAAACAATTTGTTTCTTGCTTTAAAAGAAAAGATATTTTTAGAATTACTTACTCTACTCGGAAATCCCTATTGTCTGTTCATCACGAAATCAAAGATCCAATTCATTACATAATGTCCACTCAACTCACATTCTAATACACCAGCTTCGTTGCACTAAAATTGTGATAGAAGGTAAACATAAATCACAAACGAAACTACATCTAACTAGTGGATACGTAATAAGATAAATTACCTCAGTGAGCTTCCATACAATTGGAATTGATGTGTTCTTTTCATACCTCTCAAAAGCCTTAAAAATAAACAAGCAGCAGAGTTGTATTCAAACTTATAGAAAGAACGTTATTTTCATGTCATATTAAAAAATTTCTTAGTTTTCCAATAGTTTGAGAAGGTAGTAGTTGTCAACCGGATTTTTCATAGGCTTCATCAGAGAATCCAAAATGTATACAATATGATATGAAGGGCAAATCACCAAGAGGACCCAATGCATACTAGTAATGTTTTGAAATTTTAGTATAAAAACACACAAAAAAAATAACTATTAATATAGATAACAACATATGATACTTTTGCAGGTATGGTGCGATAAGAAACGATTTTCCATGATGAAGTTGCATCGCATCAACGAGATAATTGACGACATCAATCGGAGTTTCCTAACAGGCTTTCCCAAGAATCTTATATGGGTTTAAGAAAGCACACTTTCCCATACGTTTCTGAAGCATTAATTGTAAAAGGCTACAAACAATATTACAAAAAAATTTCAATCAAGTCATATCTTATAAGCAGCCTAAAAAGAAAATATCATGGTAACAAATAATAGTAAAATTTGAATGCACTTACATCTACCAAGTTGTTATGATGGACAAATCAGTTGTTTGTTTTTTCAACAAACGATAATAATCTTCATATGTAACTGAAAAATCAAACTCCCCAGCTTCTAGATGTCGAGCATCGACTACCACATGAACCACTAGGTTGGTCTTCAAAAGGTCACGAAGTGATTCTATTGGCCTTGGTTTGTTGATCTTCTGGTTTGGCATGTTTTTTTTCCATAACAACCTTTGCGGTTGATGGTCGTGCACTTGTGGTCTGAATTTGTTGTTGTGATGACGCCTTGCTTTGTTGTTCCTATTAATAACTCATTTTAATTAGCGAGAATGTCGTATATGCCATTCTTAAACATCAAAATATTTTATTTGTCGGCCTGAATATAATATTTTGATGTTTAATAGGAACATATAGGGAATTCTCTCATTTTCAGAAAAAGTATATATGGTAGATAAAAAATTAAAGGATAATAAAGATGTACCCTACTAAGAACAATTGCGATCTGCGTCCATTGAATTACAGTGCCAACTACATCTTCTAGGGTACCAACTTCATTTGTCATCACAGGAATAGGAATACCTTTATATCTTTCATCTATGTTGTCTACCATAACCTTCAAGTGATTTTCGCGTAAAGGAAGTGAGTGAATTAACCCATCATTATAAGGAAAGACTATCCCTCTGGCACATTTTTGGTTCATAGCACCATAAGGTAACACCAAATCACAACAAGTAATAGTGTATTTCATGTGTCAACATGTTAGAAAATTTGATATAAAATATAATTTGACATCAAAGATCAAAGTAAAATGATATCAAGAAATTCAAAAAACATAAACCGAACACATTAAAACAGTAAAATATGCTAAATACAAAAGTTTGGAACTATTTTCGTATATTTTCTATCATACATGGACCATTATTGTACATTTGTATAACATATTGACCAATTCTTCATTTCTATACACTTTTGGTGCACATCACCATAAGATAACACCAAATCACAATGAGTAATAGTCTGCAATCATATAGCATGTAGTGTATTTCATTTGTCAATATGTTAGAAAATTTGATGTAAAACATAATTTGACAGCAAAGTACAAAGTAATATGATATCAAGAAATTCAAAAAACATAAACCTAACACATTAAAACAATATATATATATATATATATATATATATATATATATATATATATATATATATATATATATATGTTAAAGTTTGCATTTCTATACATTAGAGGTACGTTTTTTGTAATTTTTTATGCATAGTGCCTTCTTTTATAATAAAGAATTACCTTTATCGTATCTAAAACATCCAATGTCGACGTCGAGCCAGAACTATTGTTTTGAACATCGAAGCATACATTATTCGGGACTTGGTTCCTAGACTCTTGATTCGCAAGCATTGCTCTTAACTCTGCCAATTGCGTTTTTGTTTCATCTATATTCGGGCCTGGTTATTTTTAAAAATGGGTCACATGATAATTACGTGCTTTATATTCAGATAGAACCCGGTTGTGTTCTAAAAACCGAGTCACAAAGCCCTATAGCTAAAAGGCTTGGTTGTTTGAAGAAGAACTGAGTTCTTTAAGAATACTATAGAGCCCGATTTTTTTTCTTCCAACCGGGTCATATGGTTCTCTTCTGTATCAGATGCGGTTTTTTCATAATATAACCCGGTTTTTTCCGAAACTGGGTCCTATTAAACGAGTCTTATTTGCCTTTTTGTAGTAGTGAAGACAAATATAGTACTACATTGGTAAAAGCACAAACTTTTTTTACAAAATCAGTGGAAATTTTTTTCCCTATTAATCCAATAGTAACTATAAATTTATATATACTTAAGAATCAACCATCATACCATAGACAAAACTGTTTTTTTTTTTGGCCGGCAAGAAATTTTTTATTAAACAACACAAACCAGTAAGACTGCTAGTTGCATGAAAACATCATTACGAATCGTGTTTTCGGATCTACAAACCAACAATCCTAACTAATTCAACATTCCTATCTCATTTAGATCTACTTCTAATCCAATTATAGGAGAACATTTGGATCTTCAATAAGCCATTACACACAACACCATAGTGGACAATTTTATAGTATTTTACTATGTTATTGCATCAGTAGAAATGACAGTCAAAATTACTTGATTTTCTTAACAGGAAAAGTGAATGTCCAATAGCTAGGCCATTACACACAACACCATAATGGATAGTTTATAGTATGTTAGTGCATCAGTTAAAATGGCACTCAAATTTACTTGATTTTCTTAAAAGGAAATGTGAATGTCCAACATTGTATAAACCATTACAAACACCATAGTGGACAATATTATAGTGTGTGCCAAATTTACGCCCAGCGTACTCACGAGTCCCTCATCACGTGCTACTTGAATTTAAATAAAATGAATCATTAACTCATACCTAGTGACTCGGGTGCTATAGTTCTCCCCTACTTGAATTAGACTTTGTCCTCGAAATCTGCTGCCAGAAATAAATCTCGGTAATTCTGCCTCATCTCATCCTACGGCTCCCACATCCATTCTAAACCCTTGTGGTGCAGCCATTGCACCTTAACCAACTCAAACACCTTGTTCCTCAAGGCCTTTATCTTCTTGTCGAGGATCGCTACTGGTCTCTCAATGTAGTTCAGACGGTCGTCCACCTGAATGTCCTCCAATGAAACCACTGTAATGGTTTTCCAGCAAGCGTGTGATTCTTCCGTAGAATATCACGATCGATTCATGCTTGTTTTACAAAAATATTATTTCCTTGTTTTCTTTGTTGTTCTCGCAAAAGATTCTTGGGAGAGCATCACTAATGATTGATGCTTTTTTTACTTAACCAATATGTGTTTCCACTTTCTTATTAAGTAGTAAGGGAGCAATTCTCCTATCTCTTGGAAAGAGGTGCTAAAAGGCCATTTCTCTTTACTCAACCGCTTGTGAAATTTGTCTTCAAAGGGTTTAAAATCCTGAAAACTGGTATTAACGATTTAGATTTGTTGTATGAGGATTAAACAGTTAATGTGGTTCTCCCATAGTTAAGGGTGTTCACGGAGCGGTTCGGTTCAGATGTTCATAAAATTGTGAACCGTAAACACAAAGCGGATATCTAATGTGCACTAACCTAAATCGAACCGAAGTGTGTAAAAACTGAACCTAACCGATACGTTTAAAGGTGGTAACCACGGGTCAGTTTACGGGTACCCACTAAATGTAACAAATCGAAAATATAATAAAAAATACAAACTAACAATATGTTGATTTGGAAGTAAGAAAAAGTTCAAATTATACATTAGAATTTATATGATAACTATAATAATAAATTTAACCATAAAACATGATGAATATAAAAACAATTTCTCAATTTTAGGGATACAAATACATGCACACAAACAACATATACCATACAGTTTATAAGAAAACATAGAGACACACAATTTATGAAGCGGATATAAGCGATAAAAATCTAATGTTCTAAGTTCTAATAGAAAAGTACCATAGACGTAAATGAGCATCTTAGTTTGCTTTGCAACTGACTTCCGATGTCTATGTGAGATTTTTTCATTTCATGTTTGGGTTGATTCTTTTTGTTGGGTGGGTGGGGGGTTGGGGAGTATGGTTTTGAAATTATCTGGATAGTTTACAATGCATTAAAAGGTGAATACAAATGCATTAGTCCATGAGATAGATGCAAATGAAGCAAGATTCACTTTACAAATCATGTCTAGATGGCTAAACAAGATAGTAGGTGTGTAACTAGAACAACCAAACTAGCATGTGTAAACTGTGACAACCCAAAATTTCCATTTGTACGAACATTATCTATTCAATAGAAGCTAGTCCAGTTTCAGTGATTTTCAGACTTGTCCGAACAAGTTTGTGTACATTAGGGTTTACGTTTCTGGATATATCAGGAGAGTGGATGCTCCTGTATTTGTGAAACTTGAACATTGTAAGTTTCATAATGTTATAGTCCGAATTCCGGAATAAAAATATTTTCTGTCAAAATATTTCAGGACTATAAATAGATTTCTGAATTTAATTAATTCATTATTCACAATTCCAACTAGAGAAAAGCCAATTCTCTCTGACGAATCTTCGGGTTTTCATCCCGGATTGTGAGTCTACTTTCCTAAATGTGTTTTAATACTTGTTATATGCTTTATAACATTGTTTACATGTCCAAAATACAAGATCCGGGAGCTTACGGCCCAAGAACGTTCTTGGGGTGTAAACTCCAAAACGAAGCCTAAAGGCTTCCTAGTCCCGATTCCTTGGTAGACAACCTCTTTAGGGCTTAATGTATAAACATTTGAGACTAGAAATCAACAAAGAAACCCTAGTTATAGGAGTTTACGGCCAAGGAACTCTCTTGGGCCGTAAACCCCTTTTTAAGGGTTATGAGTGCCCTAAATCACCCCCTAAAGCTTAAGGACTTTACCCTCTAATGCTTGTGCTTAATGTGGACACCAAAACACTTCAAAATCTTTGGGTTTTAGGAGTTTACAGCCAAGGAAAGATCTTGGGCCGTAAACCCCTTTTTCAAGTGTTAAAGATGCCCTAAACACCCTTAAAGCCTTAAGACAACTTACCTTGACTACTTGGGACTTGAATGGGGAACAAATTACATCAAAATCATCCCTTAAAGGGAGTTTACGGCCAAGGAACATATCTTGGGCCGTAAACTCCAAGTAAAAGCACAAAGGTGTGCCTAATGTCCCCTTTAGCCTTAAGCAAAAACATGGAAGTTATCCTACATGTGCAAGGGCCTTAAATGAATTAAAACCAACACCCCATAGGAGTTTACGGCCGTAAACTCTAGGGGATATGGTCCTTTGGCCGTAAACTCCCCAAAGGAGCATTCCAAGGCCTTAAACTACTTCAAGGATTATTCCAACAAGGCTAGGCTTATTCTAGGATCAAGATAACACTTCAAAACACCCAAAACCACCAAGTGAGGAGTTCACGGCCGTAAACTCATGGGTTCACGGCCGTAAACTCCAAAGGGTGGGGTTTGTTGGGTGGTGAACTCATTACAAGGTCATTGGTGCATTAAACCCCTTTTGCCTTGTCCCGTATCAACTTAGATGCAACCATTAGGACCTATAACACTTATATAAAGTGTTTACATGTTCCTAAGTGTCTTAACTTACTTTCTTAAGTTATTATTTGGCTAATTAGTTGTATATATGCTCATTATATGATAACTCGGCTCGAACATGTGAACAAGTCTTCGTTTGCCACCTAGCACGGTACCCGATACATCAATCCAATCTACTCACCACAAGTGAGTTCATACCCCTTTAATCAACCTTTAAAATAGATGGTGCATTAAACCCCTTTTGCCTTGTCCCGTATCAACTTAGATGCAACCATTAGGACCTATAACACTTATATAAAGTGTTTACATGTTCCTAAGTGTCTTAACTTACTTTCTTAAGTTATTATTTGGCTAATTAGTTATATATATGCTCATTATATGATAACTCGGCTCGAATGTGTGAACAAGTCTTCGTTTGCCACCTAGCACGGTACCCGATACATCAATCCAATCTACTCACCACAAGTGAGTTCATACCCCTTTAATCAACCTTTAAAATACTTTTAAATGTTTTAAATACTTTATGGGGGGGATAAAAGTTAAATACTTATAGTTATTGCATCAATCACATGTGATTAATAACTAGAAAACCAATCATTTTATCACTGTTCAAACTGTTTATCAAACTGCTTTAC